GCATAAAAGGTCACAGACCAGCTTCCTCTGCTCTGGTGACAGGCAGGAAGGCTGGAGAGCTGTGTCCACTGTCCCGGACTTTAGGGCTCTCTGTGCTTTAATCCTCCTCACATGCCCAGGAATTCCCTGAATCTGAGGGACAAGATGGAAATGGCCTGCCTAGTCAGAGGGACACAGCCTGTAGGCAGAAGGACTCATCACAGGAAGGTGGGAGTTCTTGCCCTCACTACCACCATCTGTGGCAGACAGCAGGCCGTACTGTTGATTGTGCAGTTCCCGTTTTCAAATTTCCCATAGCCTGGATCAGGCTGGGGATCTCGTCAGTATCTGAAAGTAAGAACACAATTTAGGGTCTGGCAAGGTGGCTTATGCCTGTACTCCCAGCACTGAGGACACTGACAAGGGAGGAGCATGAGTTCAAGGCCAACTTGGACTTCAGAATGAGATCTTGTCTCCAAAAAACAAAATAATACAATTTAAAACTAGCGGTAGCTTGCTGTAAGCACCTGCCATAGCACATTAAGGACACAGAAGCCCCAGGTTCCTAGCCGATATACATCTGTTGATATTCCATTCTGTCACTCAGGCCTGATGGCCACTCCCAACCTAGCCCTTGCCATAGTTATGGAAAAGAACAGCCACACCAGTGGCTCCCTGCTGCAAGGCTGCAGAACCTCTGTGGCATGTGAACTTTCAGGTCACCCCAGGTGCTACATGGTCGAATGCAATGGAGCCAGCATCACAGGCTTTGTCCTGTCCAGACCTCCCTGTACGAAACTCTGAGCAGGGATCCCTTGGCTGGCAACATGATGTCATGGAGTGCCTTGGCCATACATGGCACAAATACTTGGAATCCCAGTACTCAGGTGGCTGAACAGGGAAGATCATGAGTTTGAGGCTACTCTGGACTATAGAGTGAGACTCTGGTCTCAACAACAACAAAAAACCCCCAAAAGTAGACTGCCTGAAGGTAACTTCTAGGGAGGTCAGGAAGAAACCTGAGACCTCAGGTGCTCAGGGCCCAGAGCAAAGCAGAAACTACCTGACCTAAGCAGGCACTTCCAGGAGTTTCTAGTCCTGAGGATAGCTCTGCTCTTGCCAAGGACCCTCTCCCGCAGGTCCCCATGGGCTGCGAGCCAGACTAGGGTTTTCTTTTTCAACTGCTCCTGCATGGTCCAGACTAAGGGAGAAGAAAGGAAGTCCATGGAGAGCACAGCTACAGTGCATCTTTCTGGGTGGTAACTGGGCTGAAGGAAGGTACCTCTGCCTTCTACCTACGAGGATACTGGACACAAATGACTGTTCAGCAGCCCCACAGCCAAGTCCTCAGAACCCCAACAAGGGTGGTAACTCTGGGGGAGACAGAACCACCAACTATTTGGCTACCAGCTCGCTCAGCTCCAAGTTCTAATTAGGCCCTGCCCCACCAGGCCAAGAGGCAGCACTATTACCCAGCCCCTCTGCCAGGCTCATGAACAGGTTAGCTGAGGTCATTCCAGAGCCAGCAGGGAGGCTTGGGCAAGAAACAGGAATGCAGAGCCCCAAGTTCTGTCCTGGTGGTGTCACTGAGCCTGCCACCCTGGCCAAGCTCTTCTGAGCAGGGAAGAGAAGCTGTCTTTGCACCCACTGCTGTTCTCTTTGGTCTAACAGTACCCTAAGCAGGCCCACAGCAGGTCTGTGCCTTCTAGCCCTCAGAAAGCCCCGCCACATCGGTCCTGATTCCTGGTCCTTGCTGACTCCTGCCCTCTGTGATATCCGTGCTGTACTGCCCCCTTTGTTGCTTTGTGGGACAGAGGAGGGACAGTGGGTTGAGGGGCTCAGCTGCCTGGGGTCAGCCGAGTGGGGACCATCTCTTCCCCCTTACATTGCTCGCTCCGGCCCCTCTGCTCCAATGAGGCTGGCCTTCTCGCCTTCCTTTCGTCCTCTGCTGACTTACACACTGGAATCTTAAGACTCTTTATCCGGCCTTGTGGTGTGCACACGTATTTGTGTTTGAGTGCACATGTGTGTGGGTACACATGCATGTGGAAGCTTGAGATCTGGTGTCCTCTGCGATTGTTCTCCACTTTATTTTTCAAGACAGTCTCTCATCTCTCACTGAACCTGGAGCTCACGGATTTGGCTAGACTGGCTGGACAGCAAGCTCTGGAGAGGTCTGCCTGTCTCTGCTTCCCCAGTGTTAGGGTGACATGTATGCTGTCATATTCGGTTTTCTACATGGGAGCTGGAGAGCTGAGCTCAGGTCCTCATGTTTGCACGGCAAGCACTTTACCAACTGAGCTAGCTCCCCAGCCCCCCATTCACTTTCTTATGTAATTAAGAAAACAAAAAATGAAGGCATGCAAGTCACTTTGTATCATTAATGAATTCTTTTTTTGGTCTTTTAGAGACAGGGTCTCCCTGTAGCCTCAGCTATCCTGGATTCACCAGGTTGGCCTCGAACTCACAGAGATCCTCTGCCTCCCGAGTGCTGGGATTAAAGGCATGTGCCACCACACCCGGCTAATGAATTATTTTAAAAGGGAAATAGCTAGCGAACTAACTATAACAATCTTCGGACACTCACAACCAGCATGGCTCCAGCTTTTTCACCCTCCCAGCCAAGGGGCCCTGTGCTTGAGCAAGCTATCACTGTCTTCATGGAGGCTCCAAGGCCCGCTCCACGCTGAGGGGATAATTGGGCTGAGGTACTTGCTGACCCACCACATAAGGGCTCCTGCAAAGACAGGGATGAGCTTGGGTCCCATGTGTTGGCCAGATCTTGAGGGTCAGTGGGCAGCAGCTGCCATGGCAATGTGGGGAAGGAAGGGGAAGGCCTGGGTTGCTATAGTGTCCTCTGGGGCACATTTAGGGAAGTCACATTTCAGGTCAGAGCCTGGCTGAGGACTGTGTGTTCCCTGGCCAAGGAGGAGGATAAGAGACGGGGTGGGGGCCTGGCTGGCCTGAGAGGTGTGATTGTGCCTGAGGGGTGTGGGCATCAAGGCCTCAGGGATTGTGTGGGGGAGGGTTTCAGGGGTAGGAAAGGCCAGAAGAATGGAAGGAAGGCAGCTGAACTGGCCAGTGTGATGGGGTGGGGGGAGTAGGGGCTGGTGGGATGAGGAAGAGGAGGAGGAGGGTGCTGGGAAAGGCAGCTAGAGGACCATGGGCAGGAGGAGAGTTCCTGGCTACACAACGTGCCCTCAAGGTTGTGAAGAAGGGCCAACTAGAAGGGCAGTACTTTGTGACAGGGAGGGGTGGGGGGGCTTCCCAAGGTGAAAGGAACATTTCTCTCTGTCTGCTGAAGAAGGGCTGACAGCGGTTGGCAGGGCCCTAGAAGTTGGATCACAGATGCTGCCATCTCTTATGGAGCTTGAAGATAAAAATTCACAGGACATGCAAATGCCACGGGCCAGTGGGGCTTGGTATGCTGGGCTTCCATCTCTTCAGTCTCCATGTCTCTGTGCAGTGTGGGACCTCCCTGTCACCAGACAAACTCAGATATCCCATGTCAGGTACAGAGCCCACCTCTGGAGACCACCAATGCGTTTCTCCCCAGCCTCCCACTTTCCCACTCTATGGTTTGTGCTCTAGTTTCCCAGGAAATAAATTACCAGGCAGCCTGGCTAACTGGAAAGGCAGCTTAGCCTCGGTCTGAGGGTAGACATCGGATTATTGTTCCCTGCCTATAGGAAGTCCAACAGCAAGGGGAACAGGAAAGAAGTAAGGATGTAGGGAGACAAGACCACTAATGGCCAGTGAGCAGGGCCCCAACACCCACCCGTGGGAGCAAGTCTCCTCCAGACCCTCTGTGGCCAGGGGAGGCGGCTTACTTGGGGTCACTGGACTCACTGAGTCACTGGTCATGGCTCCCACAGACTCAACAGGTCAGTCTTCCCTGTGGGGTACTCCAGAACCCCGAGATAATGGGGGTACTGGCTGGACTTACAGAGCCCCATGGCCAGAGCTCTGCCGCCAGGCACACAGGCTCGCTCACTGTGGTTCTGCTGCTCCCAGCCCACCACCTCCCAAGCTGAACTGCAGCCTAGACCTGCAGATGGGAGGGAGCACTCTCAGGCAGGCCCACTGAATGCTCACAGGAACACAAGCCCCAGGGACACCCCCTGATGTGGATGATACCAGCCTAGGAGGGAGCCACTCTACAGCAGCCACGGTGTTCTCAGAATCTCTGAGTCATGCCTGCTGGGAGTTGGTGCATCTGGACAGCAATGGGGTAATAAGGAGCAAACAATGTCACTTTTAGAAGGTGAATAGAAATGGACACCTTTTGGTTGATTTCACCTGAAACTAAAGTTCTCCTGAGATGTAGGAAAATTACAAATGACAGCTACCCCTAGCTGGTGGATGAAGCTTATCAGGTGTTCAGCATCCACAAGCTGGCAAGAAACATGCCCCTCTGCTGCGCATCCAGACTGGATGACCACCACCCAGTGTAGAGGCTCTCAGACCCAGGGCCAGGCCTCTGCAGGCAGCACGTGACTCTCCTTGGCGCTCAGCCCTCCTGGGTGAGGGGCCTTAAGCCCTTCCTTCTGCTCCAGTTCTCCTGGCTGTGGGGCATTAGCAGTCTGGGCAGCTGCTGTATCCATTGGGCTGCATGGAGGTGCAGTGGTGCAAGGAGCCCTGCCAGGCACAGTCCTGTGCAGCCGAGCCTCAGCTCTGGAGCTCTCGTCTGCTCCTGTGACAACCCCACCCCAACCCCAGTGCACATGTATGGCCATCTGAAAATGCACGTGTGGGAGATTTTAGAGCCCCCTCCACCTCACCCCAGGCCCTAGTCTTTCAGTTCTAAGCCTGCCCTGTGCCACTGCTGTGCCTTCAAAGAGTCTTCTGTGTCCCTGAGCCTGCAGTGGAAGCAGCCAGCATCTCTATGGCAGACTCTTGGTAAGCTCCAACTATTTTGTCCTTAGTTCTACAGACAAGTGTCTGTTCAGTTCATTTCCTCAAGGGAGAAAGGGGAACTCAGGACTGAACTAAATCCCGCTGAGTCTCAGAACCTGAGTCTCAGGACCTGGGCTACTTGTGCAGGACCTGCAGGTCCTGCTTGGGGCTGGATACTCTGTGAACAGTCACAGGCAGAGATGGGGAACTGACTGCCACAGCTAGACCTGAGCCAGCTCCAAGCACAGCAGAGGATGTGAGCACACTTGATCTGGAGGGCAGGCCCATCCAAGTGCCGCCTCTCCTCTCCTTTCTCGAAACCAGCAGTAAACACAGATAGGGAGGGGCCACCATGCCTGCCAAGCGAGGCAGCAACTTTGTCAGTAATTGACTCAACGAAAACAAGTGTGGCAGGAGCGCGTGCAGTACTCACACGCATTGCTGGCTGTCTCAGAGTGGCTGGGGGTTTCCAAGACACACAGGTCCTGCCATGTTGCCGGCTGCAGGCATCTGGAGCTGTTAGCACAGAGGGAGGAGGGACTCACGATAAAGGTAGGACCTGGTGCTCACTGCAGTGGCTGAGCTGGACAGGGGACAAGGAGGGCAGCCCAGGGGGAATAGGGGAAGTCTGAGGACTTGCCACCAGCCAACAGGAGCCTCACAGAGGGTAGAGGCACAAAGCAAGAGGGACAGAGCGGGGTCCAGGTTCCTAAGCAGGTTTGCCAATTAAACACAGGGCTGTAGTCGTGGGGTCTGAGTGAGCTAGAGGTCACCCTCCCTTTCTCAGGTATTGGGGGAGGAGGTTTGTCCCCAGAAGAGCCTCTGTCCATAGAGGAACATGTCCATAGAGCCTGGGTCCTTAGATGCCACACAAGTCCAGGCCAGCAGGGACTTTCGCTGTGGGCTGGTGACCAGGAGAGGACAGAATGCATGTGGGTGGAGATATAGCTCACTGATATCTACTCACAGTGGCAGCTGAAAACAGTGTTTCCTGGGTACATGTGGTCCTGTGGTCTGGTGGATGAGGTCCTGATAATGTGGCCTCATGCTTAGCTGCCACTGACTGCCAAAGTCATGTAGAGCAGTAACTCGGGAAACAGAAACCTGGGGGACCCAACATGCCTGAAGATGGCTAGCCACTGGGCCTTTAATGTGAGAGCTCACGGAGGCACCACAGAAAGGAAGGGCACAGAAAAGCAGCCCCCACAGCACTGACTGGAGGTGACAGAGGCACCTCAAAGATGCACCATCCAGGAGTAGGTCAGGTGGAGGGTACTGGCGCAGACACTTCTTCCAGTGGACAGCTTTCAGCACCCCACAAAGGGGTGCAGTGAAAGAAGGGTCAGGCACTTGTCCTCGAAAGAGGGCAAGGCTACTCTGTGTGCTTGCCAGGGCCTCGCTCCATCCACCATCCTGGCTGTTGGGGCACTGGCAAGGCCTGCACACTATCCTGAGCATCCTCCCATGTGCATGGTGAGAGCACCTGCATCACCTGTTGAGTTAAACCCTGAATGCCTGACTTGGAGAGGAAGAGGACTCTGGCTGATATCCAGGGATCCTGGGGAGCGAATGCACAATGTGCCTGGAACAGAACTGCCCCTGGAGCAGACTAAAGCACGGAACTCTCCAGTCTCCTCAGGAGTCTTCCCGTCCCTCCAGGGCCCTGCCGCCAGCCCCTGTGATCCAGCGGCCATGATCCAGAACACAGTACACACTCATGGGCCATGTGGAGTGAGTGGGGACAGCCTGCACACAGATCACAGGGCTTCCTCCCAGTGATGGCCATGGCAGGCAGGACCAAAGCCAATACCAGCAGCCCGGCTTCCTCACTTTGTCCCTGCACTCTGGGAAACAGGACTGTTCATTTCCCGTGTGTCTGCCCAGGATGCTTTTTTTTTGGGATTCTGAGAGCAAGAGGTCTGGTTGGGGCAAACTACAGTTTAAAATTTCCCTCCAGAGAACTAGACATCCTGAAGAATAAGCAAAGAGGGAGTCTCTGTACCTTAGAGGTCCACTTGTCAATGTTACGTCAAGACTGACTGGACAGAATGCAGCCCAGGCTCTGCACTGCCCCATGGACAGTGACCCCAAGGGAGGAAAGGAAGGATGCCTTGCCTGGGGCTGATCCAGGCTGCCCACCTCTCCCAGGACTGACAGGTCTGAGCACCCACAAACCTCAGGAGTAGCTCCACAAGGCCAGTCCACCTAAAGGGCCTTATGGTGGCAAAATAGAGTGCATGCTGTGTCCCCAGGCTGTAGTGGCCTTAGAGGCAGCCTCCCACTTCTACACACACCAGAGCACACACCAGGGCCTATTCCAGGCCCTGCTAGTGTGGCATGTAGGTCACAGGTGTATAACAGTTCACACACATTCAACTCACACATGTGCTTGTGTTGGCTCAGGCTGCTACTGTGTGCTACACACACATACCCTCCTGCTCCTTTTTACCTTTATTTTGTTTGAGACAGGGTTTCACTGTGTTCCTCTGGCTGCCCTGGAAGTCACTATGTAGACCAGGCTGGCCTTGAACTCACAAAGATCCACCTGCCTCTGCCTCCTAAGTGCTGGGATTAAGGGTGTGCACCAACATGCCTAGCTCTGTCTTGATACCAAGTAAATGTAGGCCCACGTCCTACCAGGCATCAGCTGTGTTTGTCTTCGACCTCATCAGCTACACAAGAGAGGGAGTAGGTAGGGACAGGAATCTCATGGGGTTGGTGGCTGGGGCACCCCAGCACTGCCAGGTGGTCTGGAGTTGGGTGAGTTCTATCCCCAAAAGACCCCTAGTGCCCAAAGGCAGCAGTAGGTCTAGGGGTGGAGAAGAACCCCAGGCATGGCTGGCACAACTCAGGACACAGGGCATACAGAATAAGCACACTTCTACCATCTTCTATAGCAGTCTCTCTAATGGGTCACTCAGGACTCTGAACAGAAATGGGGTCTAGCAGTCTCCCCATGGCCTCTAGTGTTCCTGCACCTCTGAGTCCTAACCACAGTAGCTTGGGGACTCCTGCCTGCAGACACACACCAGGCAGAGGTCTTCCCTGGAGCCTGCCGGTCTGCCAACACTGAATAACTATCTCTTCTCTCTCCACAGAACTGCCATGTGGAGCTGTGGCCCGCTCAACGGCACTGCATGGGGCGAGGAGCCGCTGTGTCGGGACCTGCGCCTGGGGCTGTGGGTCCTCTCACTGCTCTACTTGGGGGCAGGCGTCCCCGTGGGCTTGGGCTACAATGCCTTGCTGGTGCTGGCCAACCTGACCAGCAAGCACAGCATGACCATGCCAGACGTGTACTTTGTGAACATGGCTGTGGCAGGGTTGGTGCTCACGGCGCTGGCACCTGCATATCTGCTGGGCCCTTCCCACTCCAGGTGGGCCCTGTGGAGCCTCAGCAGTGAGGCCCATGTGACGCTGCTCATCCTGTTCAATGTGGCCTCCTTGGTGACCATGTACTCCACCGCTCTGCTCAGCCTCGACTACTATATAGAGCGGGCCCTGCCTCGCACCTACATGGCCAGTGTGTACAACACACGGCATGTGTGTGGCTTTGTCTGGGGCGGGGCGCTGCTCACCAGCTTTTCCTCCCTGCTCTTCTACATATGCAGCCATGTGTCCTCCCGTATCACAGAGTGTGCTAGGATGCAGAACACGGAGGCAGCGGATGCCATCCTCCTGCTCATCGGCTATGTGGTGCCTGGCTTGGCTGTGCTGTATGCACTGGCTCTCATCTCAAGGATCCGGAAGGAGGACACACCACTTGACCATGACATGAGCAGGCTAGACCCCTCAGTACACAGGTTGCTGGTGGCCACCGTGTGCACACAGTTTGGGCTCTGGACACCTTACTATCTGAGCCTGGGGCACACGGTGCTTGCCTCACGGGGGAGGACCACAGACGGGCATTACCCGGGGGTCCTGCAGCTCGCTAAGGACTTGGCCAAGTTCTTGGCCTTCTCAAGCAGCTCTGTGATGCCGCTTCTCTACCGCTATATCAACAAGACCTTCCCCACCAAGCTCCAGCGGCTAGTGAAGAAGATGCAGTGCGGGCACCAGCACTGTGCTCCCAACCCCACAGGGATACAGCAGGTGATGGCGCAGGCCTAGCAGACGCCCTCGCTGCCCCTCCTGGTCTCATGCCCAGGGAGGAGATGACTGCCAGGGAGACTCAAGTTCAACTGGACACAGCACTTTTTCTTTGGGCTGTGGCGCTTCTTCCCAACAAGAAGCCTTGTTGATGCTAGAATGGCACAGGGGTGTTTCAAGGTTTTCTGTTTTTCTCCAAAATGGTCAACCTAGAGCCCAGGCTGCCTTGTGGAAGGCAGGAATGCCTTGTGTGAACAGGCTGCTTCCAACTAACCCCCTTTCCCTCAAGGTGTATGCGTCTCCCGCAGGGACTCTTCAAGGTCCACACCCACTGACTTCGGCCTCCCCAGTGTCAGGCTTTCTAAGTGATGTAAGGAAATCTAAAGCCAATGTTTATACTTCATTTTGACATAACACCCGATTCTCATTTCTTTTTATGTCAAGAGAGGTGTTAGAAAAATGACAAGTATTAAGATGAAGGAAACAGTACAAGGGAATGGATGTCACAGATACTGAGGTCATGGCTTAAGGATGGATGGATGGTGTTTGCTGGATGTGCTATAGCACACAGGCATTGCGGGCAGCACCAGGCACTGGTTGTAACAGGCAGCTGTGGAGAACTGGGCCTCTCCCCACCATACACACCTGGCGCCTCTTCTCCATGAAGTATCCTCTCCAGTACAGGCCTGGCTTCCAAACCCTCAACATGCATACGTGAACAAACCGAGGAGAAAATGCTATGGGATCTTAGTGCCCAAACTAGACCTCCCTGGGGGAGAGGCCCTGGGTACTGGTAATATCAGAAAACCATGGGAGGGAAGGGTGGGATGGTGTGAAATGAGGTGAGGCTTCCCAAGGTCACTGGGGACTGGCATCCAACTACCTGGCTGGTTTCCACAGTGCACCTTCTCACAGGTGCCTCTGGGCCTTTTATCATCCTGTTTGATAGTCATCCACTTTAACGTGTGGGCATGAACAGAACCCTGGGCCACCCCGAAGCCATCACTTGCTGCCACCTCAGTTTCCTAGGGTTACATTACAGAACTGCAACCCTCTGGTCCCCAGTTATAAAGCTCTCTTGCATGTGATCATTGGCCCTGCCCTGTCTCTGCAGAGGGTTGTGTGACCTGTATGCAGTGGCCTTTCTACATGGCCTCAGGGGCTGGTCCTGGCCTCTTGGGAACTCAGACTATGAGTTAGTAGCTTTATTTTTATTTATTCTCTGCAAACTCCATCTCCTTAGATGGCAACAACAGAGTCAATGTGTCTTAAAGAAAGTTATGGAAATACACTGGGTAGTTGGCCCTAGCTGTGATCCCAGTTCTTCACATATAAACCATGGGCAGGACTAGTTTTAAGAGCTGCTTCTGAATGTAGAGTTTTAATTTAACGTCTTTAAAGTGGCAAGCCTGACTTTCCCTGCCCTTCAGCTAGGTGCACAGGTGGGAAGGTCTGAGGCTCAAGCCACCAGGCTTCCCAGCCTCAACAAACTTAATGCCTGCTGAGGACATGAGAGCCCTCACCCTCAAGCTCCCAGCCCAGCATGGCCTGCAGCACGGCCAGTTGGTGCCAACTGTAATTCTCCTAGGGGTGAGCAGGCCCAGGGGCCATGGTCAAGTACAGCTTTGAGAGTCCCAGGGGAAACAGGACCAGGCACTGTCCTGGTTTAAAGTAGACGCTGTCCTTCCTGTTTTACACCTTTTGTCCCAGGCAGAGGTCCTGGGCTGAGCAGGCCACAGGCTCAGGAGGGGCTCTGTCCTCTGTCCCCTGGAGACCTCAATCCCAAAGCATGGAGGGGCCCAAATCACATTCTTTTGTTGAAATTTCTCAGTGGCTATATGTACAAACTGGCCAGGTTCTATAGGATCTTCCTGATGGAGCCACACACAACCACAATAGGTAGCCACCTGCAGTGCAAACCTCCTTGTAGAGACCCCTGGGATGTTGTGGCCTCCCACCCAGGCCCCTGCTTCCCTGCCTGTCTCTTCCTTGCCCCAGTCTTCCACCAGTCTCCCAAGCTCTGCACAGTCACTGATGCTCCAGCACCCACTGTCCAATCCTGTGCTGGCTCATCCTGGGAATCCCCAATGTCTGATTCCTAATTCTTCTGCCCCTCCCCCAAGTAGGAAAGAACTCAAGCTACATAGAGAAGAGGGTTTGCTGGGAAGCCAGAGGCCAGGCGCTCAGTGCTGCTCCCTACATGAACTGGAGACACCAGGCTGGACACGTGTCTCTCCAAAGATCATTAGGTGAGCTGTCAACACTTCTTGACTGTTATAATTTATAATGAATACTCTTGTTTTTATTAATTCACATCAAAGCTTGCCATGTGTCCTCATTTGGGATTCCTGAAAGCGAACTTCTTCTTGGGTTCCCATCACAAGGTCACAGGACATGCCATAGGAAATGGGCAGATATATCCAGAAACCAGCAGACACCTGTTCTGACAGAAAAAGCACCAGGCAAAGGTCAGGCCAGGGAGAAGTTACAAAGTTAAACTTTGTATCTGTTTTTAAAGTTATGTGGAAGATGGGGGCCTTTCTCATTTCTAATAATGCAATCTGCCCTAGTGGCCAGATCCACCTGCTGAAATTCTGTGAATGTGAAAAAGAAACTGCTGATGAGACTCACACATCTTAAGACTATTAAATTATTTAACACTTATCACCCAGTTTTTGATTTGTGTTTATATTGGGGGGAGGCAGAGGAACAAACCCCAGGGTCTTGCACCTGCTAGGTAAGCACCCTACCACTAAGCTACAGCCCAGCCCAGCCCAATTTCTGAGGGTTTTTTTTTTTTTTTTTTTTTTTTTTGAGACAGCATCTCCCTAATAGCCCCAGCTGGCCTGGAACTCGCTATGTAGACCAGGCTGGCCTTGAACTCACAGTGATCCACTTGCCTCAGCCTCCTGAGTGCAGGGACTAAAGGCGTGTGCCACCATGCCCGGCCAACTTCTGAATTCTTACAATGTGAATTTCTAGGGGTGTGTGATGTGTATCAAGAATCAGTACAGGAGTCCCTTGGTGGTTGTTTCCAGGCTGGAGATGTGGCTTACTAGTGGAGTGCTCATCTAGCATGCATGAAGCCATAGGTTTGATCCCGAGCACTACATGAATCTGCTGCACACCTGTGATCCCAGCACTTGGGAGGTAGAGGCAGGACAAGCAGGAGTTCAAGGTCATCATCATCTGCATAGTAAGTTTGAGGCCTGCCTGGGACAGAAGAGACTCTGTCTCAAAGTTTAAAAAAAAAAAAAAAAAGGCTTTTTCCTTAAATTTATTATAAATTAGGCATTTTTGGTTTTTATTTTATATGTATATTGCCTGCACCCGTGTATAAGTGCACCTGTGTTGTACAATGTCCCCTCCTAGTTCAGAAGGGGGTGTTGGCTCCCCTGGAACTAGAGTGACAGATGGTTGTTAGTTGCCATGTGGGTGCTGGGAATTGAACCCAGGTCCTCTGCGAGCAGCCAGTCAGTGCTCTTAACCGCTGAGCCATCTCTCCAACCCTGGCTTTTTTTTTTTTTTTTTTTTTTTT